TCGCCGGGCAAGTCCCACTCAGGGAGCTGGTAAGGGAGAGACAGAGACCCACACCGCCGTGCAAGGCGGAAGCGAGGGACAGTTCACCTAAAGGGCGCTGGACTTATTCCCTCATACCGAAGTTGCAAGCTTGGATTGAGAGAAAGCACGGCCAGGTAGATTTTTACTTTACCCAAGCGCTTAGAGGTCATGGCTGCTTTCGCAGCTACCTCAAGCGCTTCGGCCACGAAACGGAGGACTGGTACCGGCATAGTGGAGGACGCACAGCCCGTCCTCTTCGAATGTCACCGGTTTGACCATGAGCGTCACCGCCTGGAGGCAGTAGTAGGCGCCAGGATCTCCTCCGAGACCTTGGTGCCGATTATGCTGGCCGAGCCAAGGGCATGGAGTAGGAGCCTTCGAGCGTGCGCAGCAATTCCTTGCGGCAGTACCGCGCGCGGTGGGCGCTCACTCCCAAATGCGGCCCGCACTCAAAATTGTACAAAATTATAAAGTAAGAACAGACTAGATTGAAGAATAAAGAATAATAAAAAAAAACGAGAAGTGATGTGTGAGACGCTTCTTACGCTTCACAACTTTTATACTCGGCACTCAGTACTACATCTGGACCTTAGCGGTGTTTTGTCAAATTTTACATTTTTTAAATACACTTGTAACAGTGTGAGCATACAGAAGACTGGATGCAAAATTTGGTGGCTCTAGCTTATATAGTCTCTGAGATCCAGGAGCTCAACAAGACGGACGGACAGACGGACGGACAGACAGACATGGCTCAATCGACTCGGCTATTGATGCTGATCAAGAATATATATACTTTATGGGGTCGGAAATGTCTCCGTCTGTGTGTTACATACAGCCGTTATTCCCCACAAATACAATATCCCCTATTTCCTCTTCGAGTACCAGGTATAAAAAAAACGCTGCTCGTTTTTAGCCTTCAGACAAGAATGGAGTGAAATAATATTCAAGCTACAACAACAACAGCAAAAAATAGAGAGCAGACCAGAGACATTGAGGCTCCCAGCTGCAGTTTGCCACAAAATCCCATAAATCTCTTTTCTTTTATTTTTGTTCAATTTTTTTTCGTTTTTCTTGCTCCTTTTTGTTTCATTTTTCGTTTATCGACTTGTTTTTCAATCTGTTAAATCGCATAAACACGGCTGAGAGAGTGTGCTGTATGTATAACTGTCGAGAGGGGGGATTGGTGGCTGTGGCATGCCATTGTTTTTTCGGCGCCTCCGTGCCCTCGTTCCGCTCACTACTCACTAGGTCTCTGGACTCTGTGCTACCTGTCTCGTCAGCGATGCATCGCTGCAGTTGTTCACCTCGACGTGTGGCATTATTAACGCCCCACCATGCCACAACAACCAAACCAACAAAAAATAACTGAAACAATAACCCACAATGAGAGCAAGAAATAACAGACTAAAGACTACCTAGAGGGTTCGAAGCTTAAGATACCCGTCAATTTTTTTAAGTATTTAGATCTTAAAATATAACATATCTGCAGAATACATTAATCTTTATGAAAAAGAGCTATGGGTATTTTTTAGATTTTTTTTTATATATTTTAGCATTTTGTAACTCAAAGAACTTAAAAATAATAAAACATAAAAATAAAAGTTATTCAACTGAGTTTCGGGTAAATTTGATTGTATTTTATATTATATATTTGGTATTATTTATAATATTTTATAGACTTTGTTAATATACACTTGCAGAAAAAGTTAGCATCTGTTATATCTGTTACAGCTCTACCAAACACATCTTGTAATGTTGCTATTTGCAGGGTATACGCACGCAACAAACCATCATTTGTATGGTTGCCGTTGGCACTTGGGGTACTGGCAGTTGGGGGTTAACCAAATTAAAGTCGCCTTTTGTTGAATTCTCGCTTTTTCACAGTTTGTGCAACATTTCCCCGATAGTTTGTTGTTTTTTAAATTAAGCTGTCAAGGTGGTAATCACTGCCGCACGAAGGACACCAACCAGCAGCAGCAGCAGCAGCAGCAGCAGCAGCAGCAGCATGGCGGAAATGAAATTATCTGACAGTTGTTTTCCTCTCTTTATGTTGTTGTTTTTTTTCTTCTGCTGCTGCTGGTGTCACTGTGATGCTTCTGTCCGCGCAACCATAATTAAAAAAAAGAAGAAAGGAGAAATAAAATGGCAAAATGGGACAGACTGACGAGACGTGTAAACTATGGAATATCGTCCTTTGGGTCATCCCCTGTATGCTGCTAGGGTTATCTGTTTGCAGCTATTTTTTTAATATGTTTTATACCCGGTACTCGAAGAGTAAATAGGGTATATTGTATTTGTGCGAATAACGGTTGTACGTAACGCACAGAAGGAAAGGAGGGAAAGGCCCCTTCCCACCCCCGAAAGGGCGAAAACCTTCCAAATCTACAAGTTTGAAGTCAAAAGAAATCTAAAACTCAATGCCGTAGGGAATGGTCATATCTATCAGATCACCAAATTGGGATCCGATTGGATCATTATTATAGCCAGAATGAAGAAATTAATTTGCAGGGGCAAAACCCACCCCGTCCCGCAGCCTATATTTGTTTTTTTCAAATTCTCTCATTCACATTCTGCTTCAGCAGTGTGCGGCCTCTGCCTCTAGCGTTCCTCTGCCTCAGCCTCAGCCGGGACTCTGCAGTGTGTGGCTCTAGGAAAGGGGTGCGAGCAAAAGGAGGGTGTTGGCGTGATAAGTGTTGTAGATGTAGATGACAGATGAACAAAAAAATGTAAAATTTGACAAAGAACCGCTAAGGTACAGATGTAGTACTGAGTACCGAGTATAAAAGTTGTGACGCGTAAGAAGCGTCTCAGACGTCCCTTCTTTTTTTATTTGTGAACTGGGAAAATAAATGGCAAGAGTAGGCCAGGCCTTGGGACATCGAATCAGCGGAATCACTTTACATTTTAATGGCATGTAAGAGTGTGCAAATATATTTTAATTTAATATTTGTGGGGATATTACTATTGAGGAGTATTCATAATTAATTTATGTAAATTTTTTAAATAATTTTACCATCTATTTATCCCTTTAAGAACACCCACACTGATCCCACATCCTCATATTAACATAATAACATTGGCTGAAAAATTTGCTGGCACTTTGTTTGCAAAGAACCCTTTATCGCAGATTATATTTTTAAATTGTTTATAACTTTTTAATATCATTTTGACCCTGTATTGCGGAATGTCAAGGCCACAAACAAGACCTGCCTTGAGTTTCTTAATGGCTTCAAAGTTCCCATTAAAGCTTAATCCCTGGCAAAAGGCAAAGGATAAGAGGCAACGAATCCAACAAACTTAATCACGAAAATAACGCCCTTCCTGCTATCGTACATCGCCGGAATGCCGTCACAGAGCTCACCTCTACCCCCAGAATGAATGAATGAAAACATCAAAGCCCACTAAGCCGCTTAGCTAACCCCAAATCCCATCTGCGTGTGCGGCACCATGTGACCCGTTCCGAGAGTTTTTGTCCAACTTTTTCCAAAAACCAAACAAAAAACGAGAAGGGACGTGTGAGACGCTTCTTACGCGTCACAACTTTTATACTCGGCACTCAGTACCAAATCTACACCTTAGCGGTGTTTTGTCAAATTATACATTTTATCTTCATCTGTCATCTACATCTACAACACTTCCCAACACGCTCCTTTAGCTCGCCCCCCTTCCCTAGATCCACACACTGCAGACTCGTGGAAGAGGCAGAGGCCGCGCGAGGACTGCGCGAAGCATAGTGTGAATGAGAGAATGTGAAAAAACATCAAAAGCTGCTGGAAGAATCGCTGTAGGTTTGGGAGGTTTTCGCCCTTTTGCGTGGGCGGAAGGGGGCAGGGCTCATTTTTTAAATACACTTCTACCAATGTGAGCATACAGATCTGATGTCTGAGATCCAGGCGCTCAACAAGACGGACGGACGGACGGACAGACGGGCGGACAGACACACGTGGCTCAATCGACTCGGCTATTGATGCTGATCAAGAATATATATACTTTATGGGGTCGGAAACGTTTCCTTCTGTGCGTGACATACAACTGTTATTCGCACAAATACAATATACCCTATTTACTCTTCGAGTACCGGGTATAATAATAGTTTGCGCAACGAATCCAGAATCCACGTTGCCTGCCCTGCCGGTCCACTGGATATGCTGCTGCCACGTGAATTGTGCGCTTTACAGCGGAAAGTTATTTTTATCAAGGCTAGGGTTAGGTTAGAGGCGCTGTGAAATATTCAGGATATTTTTGAAAACCCACCAAATCTAAGAGGGGATGGAAACGTAAGACAGTTCTTGATTTGGTAGGAATTGTGCAAAAAATAGACAAAAATCAATGGTTTCAGTGGAAGTTTTTTAGAAGTGTAGATTAAGATTAAAAAAGTTTAAAAATTAGCGGGGAAAGCAGCTAGAGGAAAAATGACTGCAGCTTTAATAAATATTTACTTTTTAAATTAACTTTGTAAAAAGATTGAGTGGAAATTCAATATAAATATATATGTATAAATATGATATCAAAATCAATATTAAAAATGATTTAAAATTTAAGAATATGTATATTCTATCTAAAATAAACATACTTTAAATCTAAGTTACATAATTAAAATATATTTCTTAGAAATTAAATATTTTATATATATTTTAAAATATTTTATTTTTAGAGAAGGGGTTTCTTCTTATTAAAACCAATTTATAATGCATTTTAATTTGTATAATTTACTTTGCATTTAAGAAACGAGTATTTAATTGAACCATTTGTGTGTTTCTTTTTACCTGGCCATTGTTTCTTTGGAACTTGTAGTAATTGAAGTGAACAAAAGAAATATTACTCAAATCTATTTCTTAGAGTTCTTTAAAATACTCAATCATTTCATCCCCTCCCTCTTCCTAATATTGAAATAAAAAATTTAATTAAATAATACCCAAACACACAAAAATATCTAGAATTGTATCTAAGCATAGAATATAGAAATAAAAAACATCTCATTCAGTGAAAATATTTACAATTATAATTCATCTTCCAGCAAAATCTTCCATGGTTGGATTTTTGATTATGCCAAAATGTTTTGATTTACAAAAAAAATACAAATAAAAACAGTACAGAAAAACATTTAGCATTTAAAAATACTTTTGACTAGAAGGAACACTTTATCAATTTAGAGGATGTCCTCGGACGTGAGGACTTCCAGGTTGAGGCAGTTAATCCAGAAATGGTCAATGGTGTTGTACAAATGGGGCAGCGCATTGCCAATGCTATGGTTCTCATCGGTATAGGTCTTTTTTGTGTGGGGAGTTTTCGGAATCATGTATAGAAATAAAAAATAAAAAGACAAAGTCACGTACCTGCTCCTCAAACTGAATGTCCGCTCTTTGGAGCAATTTGGCCAGCAGCAACGAATGCTGATAGTGTACATTATCATCTCCCGAGCCATGAATCAATAGAAAGTCATGGGTATTGAAGTTTTCCAGATTCTGGAAGACACTGCTCTCATTGTATTTCTTTAAGTTATCCTCCTCCGTGGGCAGACCCATATAACGCTCCGTATATATTGTATCTACAAAAGAGAGGACACGAAATAAGCAGAAGTTTTAGGCTGCCTAAAGGTCGCACAAACCGTAATACAACCAGGAGGTTACTGGCGCCACTGAGACTCCGCATTGGAAGATGCGTTTGTCATCCTTTTCGATTGTTTTGGCCGTCATATAACCGCCATATGACCAGCCCCAAATGCCACAACGTTCGGCATCCACATAGGGTAGATTTTGTTGCATCCACTCGGTAACATGCAGCTGATCCTCCACCTCGTGATCCCCCAAATCATTGTTAACCGAAAAGAGCAGATCCTTGCCCTTGTTGCCCGTGCCCCTGCCATCGATGTACGCATAAATCGTATTCCTGGCGGTCGTCACAAACGCCTCGTAACCCAATACAAATCCGTTAGTTACACGCACTGAATTCGGCCCCTGATAGACCACCACAATCAGTGGATATTTCTTCGTCTCATCGAAGTTTGGGGGCAACGCCAGTTTGGCCATGCCAATGCTGCCATCCGCCAGCGTCACATTCAAGAATTTATAGCTGGGACGCTGTTTCTGCTGCAGTCTGGCGCGATACTCTGTATTCAGTTCCCAATCGATGACCAGCGAGTTGTTGGTTGCCTCAAAGATACGCGTATACGAGGGATTGGGTCCATTGCATGAGAGTGTGTAGTAGGCAAAGGACTTGCTAAAGGTAGCGCTGGCCGAGAGGCATTCCTGGCCATCCACATCGATTTGATTGCAACTCAGACAATCGTCGTTGCTGTAAACATGATAGACCGAGGGATCATTCGCCTTTGTGGCTTGGTAGTATCTAAAATGGAGACAAGAAAGAGGTTAAATATATCTAAAGCGAAGATTCGTTTGATCCTACTCACAATTTATCATTCACTTCATCGTAACCATAGACATTGAGCACCGTAAAATTGCCCCTAGCCTGCCAGCTATTAACGCCCGTCTCCAAATTCAAATTCCACACCTGATACCAGTTGTCGATGTAGTAGGCAAAGATGCAGCTCTGTCCACTGCCCAGGCATTTGGGTGTGCTTATGTCCACCCAGCCGTGGGGCTCCTCCAGACGTTTCACCTCCACGCAGACTCCCAAATGGCTACAGCTCTGAATGGAGGACAAATTCTGGCGACGATTCATCCAGGTGATGAGCAAATGTGTGTTGTTTGACCACACAACATTCTGCAAAATGTGATCACCGCCGACGACATCAGTGGGTGCCGCAATACGTTGCATGGTCGGGTCTTTGTCGGTCAAATCGTACACCCGCAGGTTGACCACGGGTGACCAATCCCATCCACACCATCATACGTGATGCTAATCTCCAGATTCTCATTGAAATGGATGTACACATTGTTCAGGTAGACATACGCCAGGCGATCCCTCAGCGGTGACCAGCCACAGTACTGCAATTTCTCGCCCTTGTGGATCTGAATAGTTGTGTTCGTCTCGATGTCGTACACATCGTACTGGGCGATATACGAGTGACGGAACTTCTCTGTCAGATTGTGCCGTATGAGGATTTTCGTGTTGTCCGTCGAGAGCGTAAATGTGGCGCCCACATAATTGTTCTGAAATTTAATGGATTATTTATCTCTGTTGCTGATAAGTAGTTGCAGACCATTTTAACATTACCAAAAATGTGGAATTTTGGAATATTGCATCCGTTTTGGTGGCAGCATTAAATTTGTGTATGGATCTGTCGGTGGCAGTGTAATAGAATTCTTCAGCTGCAAAATAAAATGGAGAAGATATATAGATACTTATTAGATGAGAGCTAAATATGTGAAATGAGTAATGCAAAGTAATAGAGAAAGTCAACAAATTAGTTGACATTTTTTCTACTTTTAATAGAGAATTTAAAATAATTTATTTATACTTTTTCGGATAAATACAATATGAAATAATAGATACAATAAAGGATAAATTAAGCTATTTGTTTCGAGGCATGAGAGCTTTAATTTTTCGGCATTAAACTGCCAATGGGATAGCCTCCGAATCGTCGTTTTGCCCTTTGCCAAAAAGCTATAAGCACAAACAAAAACAAAACTTAAAAAAACACAAACCTAAAGACCGTAAAAGCCTTGCCAAATTTCAATGACAGTTGCAGATAAAAATCAAAGTAACCGCCAGTAATCTGAATGACAATTGATCAGATGCCGAAAAAGCTAAACAAAAAAAAATACATACAAAAAATACATAAATAATGAAAATAAATTGATAAAATAAACATACATATAAATAAGTACATGAGATTCAATTTTTAATTTAAATTCTTATATTTACAAAAATGTTGTATCTATAAATAAATGTTATTGCGCCCAATTAATGTAATTATTTATTGAAATATTCCTTATTAATATTAACTCGATACTTTAATTGTTGTAACATAGCTTTTTGTCTTTAAATCAATTAAAAACTTCCTTAAAAAATGTAATTCTAATTGTATTAATAAATAATTAATTAACTACGATATATTACTAATAGTAACTAGTTATATTTTTTACACTTAGCACATAGCAACGCGGTAACCCCACAACATCGGATCACTACACTGTAAACAATCGCGCACTAATCACAAATCAAGCCTTATCAGTGCCAGTAAATCGTTTTGTGTGGAAATGCCCATATGTACGACGTGGACCGACGTGATCGTGCATAAAAATCCAAAAAATAGATTTACACACAACCCAACTGCCATTCCTCTTAAATTTTTATGAGATTTCGATCTGCCAACTCCATGAAAAGCCAATGTCAGCTGCCGATTGAACAAACGTTTTGACAGACTCATCATTACATTGAGTACCTTCACGTTTCAGCGGGTGCCAAGAGAATTACACACAATTCGACGATTAAAACCAGTTCGGGTGGAGTCATGCTTAAATTGTTTATAACAAGTCTACAAACATTCTAAAAACAATTTTAAAGCCATTACTTGAGACAGAACTTTGAGTTGGAACTCCATTAGTACATTTTTATAAAGAAAATAGCAAAAAAAGCGAAGTAGAGGCAGTAAGAGGCAATAAGAGGCTTTATCTGAACACCGTCATTATAATAAACCACAAGACGACGGCGATAAGAAGAAACACCACTAACTAGTGCTCGTAATTCATCGAAAGATTAGATTGTGGGTCCTAGAATACCTAGAATAAAATGCCTATAATGTAATATAGGGCTCTTGAGGAAGGAGTGTGCAGACATCAGCAGCAACAACAGCGATACATTATCCAACGATCCGAGCTTGAGGGAAAGTAATTCCCCACAGGGAAATGACCCCTCCGACGACACATGAATAGACTACATAATTGAGTTTACGTTGATAAGAAAGGCAAGCAGTGCCAGCTCCGTTTCCACTCCCGCTCCCGCTGTTGCACTGTCAGCGATTGTGCGTAGAAAATTCCCCCGTCCGCCTTGCATGGGGGAATTCCATAGGATGATGCAAAGCAGCGGGGAACTTCTTAGGATGATACGTAAACAAGCACAATTCTGGGCGGGAGGGTCATCGAACGGAACACTAACCTGTTATCCAGGTGCCACTGAAACCACGTAGACCCGCGGTGCCTGCTAGGGCCTCCGTAAGATCCCAGATTGTTTGATTCGTGCCGCTCTCTTCCCTCCTATGGATAACAGCGCCATACGAGAGGCCGAGACAGAGCAGCACAGCAAGCCCCGTTAAATGCAATTTCACGTGCATCTTTTTGTATGCACGATTTTCTCACTCGTTACACGCCAAAAATTAAGCGCGACTAATTCCCCCACCCCGGACAACGCGCAACAGGTAAAAACCACACGTCACACGGTACACGGCTAAACAGAGAGTGAATCGAAATCAGAAATCAATTTAAATCAACAATTTACAGCGCATACGAAGCAGAACAATTCAATAATAACAATTGAGAGGGAGAGCAAGAAAGATAACTGTAAGCCGCTCATTAGGCTTGCGCTGGGCGTTGCCAGATCGATGCAGTGGGGTGAGAGCTTAACAATTATACATTTTACTTTTTATTAATCTAAATTGTAGTTGTGTTTAATAAATAATATCAAGTGATATTAATTACATCGCTGAATGTGTCAGCGCTGTGTTCTCTGAGCTTGCTCGCTGATCGTTAATCGATTTCGATAAGGCGCGCGCGAATTCAGTTTTTAAATTATTTTTAAAGCATTTACCTGTGCACCATTTGCCCTTAAAAAGTTTGAAACTCTCGCCATAGAGCGCCTCTTTGAGACCCCAGGGGCTCTTGGGTCTCGCAGGTCGTACAGAGCCAGCAACTGGAGAAAACTCCACGATTGGCAGCAAAAGCAGCACAAATAAATTTATTTCCACCCGCATAATTCAACACGCTCGCTCGAGAAACGTTGTTCAATGCTTGGCTCACCGAAAGCAACTGAATTTACAAAAAATTTTGCTTATATATAAAAAAAGGGAGGAGTATTCGGAGCCACGAATAAGGGATTGGCCTTTAAGAGCGGAATTTGCGCCCTTTAAGCAGAGATTTTGCATTCAATTTATATTTATTTTAATTTTTATTACTTTTTAATCTTAATCCTAACACTTTTTTGCCTGCGTGTGTATTGTAAGCATTATTTTGCTCTTTTCTTGTTAAGGTTATTAAATAAATCGTAGGGACACACCAAATACATCGATTTGCAAGGCATCGAGCGCGTCCGGAAAACTACAAAAACTTTTCTCTCTCGATTTGCATAGAAAAATTGTCCAAAAGTTCTGAGCAGTGCCTCACTGCTGGCCGGAATCTGGCGGCTGTTGGTGGTGCATCTGCTGTGGCGGCTGCGGTGGCGACTCCCACTGCATGAAGCGATTAAGGATCATCGTTTGATTCTCCAGCACCTTGGGGAAGAAGGTTTGCATCAAGTCGAGCTTACGCTCCTCCACCTCCAGCCGCTGCCGCGAGATCTTTGTCTGCTCGGCCATCAGTTGGGTATTCCGACGCACCTCCTCCATGTAGAGCGCCTCCAGCGAGTCGGCGGTCAAGGTATTCGACGAACCATAGGGACGTCCACGCCTCCGCGGCGCTGGTGCGGGCGAAGCAGTGCCCATTCCGCCTACAGGCCCACCATTGGCATTGGTGGCCACACTGATCGTGTTGTTGCTGCTGTTGATGTACGCCACAGCAGTGATGGGCTGATGATTGATGGTTGGTGTAGTGGCAGAAGCGCTGCTGTTGGTGCCATTGCTGCTGCTGTTGGGATAGACACTTGGCTGTGCTCCTGGCTGCTGTTCTGTTGGCAGCTGCAATGGCTGCTGCTGCTGCTGCTGCTGCTGCTGAAACTGTTGTCCATATCCCTGCTGAAATTGTTGCTGATGCAGCTGCTGATGCTGATGCTGTTGCTGTTGCAGCTGCTGTGGCGTCTGCAGCTCCAGCAGTTGTGCCGGCTCCGCTGGCGAATACTGTTGCAGTGGCTCCTGGAAGGGTATCGAGCGATACTCGTCGTCCTCGTACTCCTGCTTCACCGCCTCATCGTACTGATCCGTAAATAGTTCCGTGTTGAAGCTGATGCCACCGGCAGCACCACCGCCACCGCCAGTACCAGCGACGCTATTGTTGTTGTTGTGGCTGCTGCTGTTGTTGCTGTTGCTGCTGTTGTTGTAGAAGCTGCTGGCCGCCGCCTCTGTGGTGAGATTGAGTCCTTGCTGCTGCTGCTGCTGCTGTTGTTGTTGTTGCTGCCTTGGCTGCTGTGTTGTAGGCTGCTGTTGCAGTTGCTGCTGCTGTCGCTGTTGCAGCTGCAGCTGCTCCGGCGTCATATCCTCGCGGGGAGGTGTCATATCCCGATTATTGAGCATTGCAGCCGGTGGCAAGGGTTCGGCATCCTTCGGCCTGTGCAGATTCTTCAGTATCCGATTGATTATGTCGTACTTCTTCCAGCGATTGCTATAGCTGGAGGGATCCGCCAGCAGTTGTTTTTTCACGGACCTAACAACCAAGCCATAAAATCTATAAATCCATTGAAACACATGGGAGAACGGACTGGACACTCACCTGAACTTGGCCCGCGTCTGATTGACCTTCATCTGTATCTCCTCGGGCTTGACATCCACACCGAAACGTTCGCGCAACTCCTCCGCCCATTGGGCAAAGAATATTGTGTTCTTGCCATTTCGGGTCAGTCGCCAATTGTCGCGTCCCCAGATCTCGTACAAGCGCTCCTCCTCGCTGGGCGTCCAGTAGCGACGTGCCTTCTCCTTGGCCTTGCCCTCCAGTATATCCTGACCCCCGCACATGTTGAGATCCGACGCCTCTGACGCGTTGTTCGTCCCGCTGCCGGCTGCGCTGCCACCACCACCACCACCACCGCCGTAGTCCATAGACACCGCTGCAGTCCTTGGTGAGTCGTTACTTTGTGGTCGTGAGTGTATTCAAAGTTTCCGTTCCGGTGTACACACGCAGAATTACACAATCGTTGGACAAATTAGAAAATTTGATGAAGCACAAAAGATTTTTTGCACAAAAAATCAACAACAGTGATGGACAGTGTGACCGCGCGTTAATCGGTAAAAGATGCACCGTTAATCGGCATAAAAATACTGCAAATATACCAAATAAACACAAATTTCAAAACACTGCGTTGGTTTGTTTTCGGAGTTTTATTTTTTTTTGGTATTTCCCAGTCGACGTCTTTTGTTACATACTTTTGGGGATACGTTTAAATACAAAAATATACATATAATGGTATATTTAATGAATTTCATCCGTTAATCTGTCCGTCTTTATTCCATCCCCACTTGTGTAATTTTCCGTTGCCCAAATAAATAGTGTGGGCCAATACAGATACGTCATGAAAACCAGCCAATCTTGTGGATAATTGAATGATGACTTAGTAAAACTACAGTTTTAAAGTTGAGAGCCTTAACTAGCTGGTAATATAAAGCAGAGGATGAAAGTCGAGGAAATGATTCTAGATTTACGGTATATTTACAGTTTGTACATTAAAGGGTCTATTTCGGTATATTGCCGAGGGTCAGTCGGTATATTTGATCGATAATTCCGCGGTCACACTGGTTATAAAGTCACGTACAAAAATGTTTGGAATCAGAAATTTAATCACAAAATAACAAATAATTAACATAATGAGCGGCAAGCATTCGCGCCTGCGTTACTACAGCTCAATGGAGGAGGCGACCATGGTGCGTGTGTGGCGCGAATATGTCGGCCAGATTCCCTGCTACAGCGAAAATTTACCAATTTTTAGCGACATTTCGCACAGCATGCAGCAATGCGGCATTCGACTGAACAAACAGGAGGTTCGTCGTCGCATCAATCACTATCGGAATAAGTACTTGTGAGTAAAACAGGGGCACTGAGACTGCAACATTCCACTAACTAAGTTCTGCTGCCACCACAGAGCTGAACGCAGTCGTGTGGAGAGCAATCCGGAGCATGTGCTTGAATGGCGTCTCTACCCGATTATCGACTGCCTCTTCCATCCCGAGCGACCCACGGAGGACATACAGCTCGCCCAGAATGTGCTCGAGTCGGCGGCCGTACGTGTGCGAAGCGAGCAACCGGATTTGCCCAACATTCCCAGCTCCATGTCCCGGCCGCCGCATGTCAAATTTGAGCGCGATCCGGATGGCTGTGCCTTCCTGGAGGCACCACCCGGACCACCAGCACAAACATCGTACCTTGCCGAGCAGCTGCAGCAGAGCCCAGTGAAGACTGAACCGAAGCCGCTTGAGGCGGACGAAGCAGAGAGTCCAAGCGCCATGCGACGCACGCCCCTGACACCCGTCAACTTCCAGCAGCCCATGGAGGAGCGCATGGACTTGAGCGTCAATGGACAGATAGAGTCTACGGCGAAGCGGCGTCGCGCACGCCGCAGCATACTGCCGCGCAGTGGCCAGATCTCCGTGGCCCAACTGGAGGCGTTGCGCTTGCAAAACGGAGAGCTGGAGCGCCAGAACGAGCACAGCCAAGTAGAGTTGCAGTTTAAGGAGCGGCAATACAATGAGATGGAGCAAACCATCGACGTGTTGATGCACCAGCAGGAGGTCTTTCTGCTGCACTTTGATCGGTTGGGCTTTAAAAGCGAGGCGTAGCCCCCCAACCCCGAACCTCGCAATCCCCTGCTCTTTGATCTATTGATTAGTTTTTAGCTTTAATTGTGGGACTCTCCATATGTACAAAAAACGGCACCTTATAGGCCATAACTGAAGAACCGAAGATACATTTACGGTCTCACTATTTGTTGGTTTAGTTTCACATTTAAGTACTATTACTAGTCAAACTGAATTGACACTCGCAAAACTATGCACCCAAGAGATTTCCTGAAGCACTTTTAGTTTAATTTTCAGTTTCATTAACTTACGTACATTTAAGACCCGAAAACAATTTGCAGCAAGCTAAAAAGATAATTCAAATGTAACCCCTTTATGCTGAGAAATGAATTTTTCATTATTGGAGATATTATTGGAGATCTAAATAAATATGTATATAAAACTGTTCGATGTGTGGCTTGGATTGCAGACAATCAGTATGTGCCGATGCACATTTTGTAGTATGTAAGTAGCTATGGTTGTTAGTATTAAGTAGTACTCCAGAAGAGTTATACTATTATGTTTTAGTAGGAAGTTATAATGTTAGGTTGCATTTTGAGGTCGCAATTTTAGTTACGAGGCCCACGGTAGTCATTGGAAATAGTCATAACGGGACCCCCAGCAGCAAAGAGCGGAGAGCAACGCCGAAATCACTGGAAGCTGGGAGAGAAAAGCCGCGAGCCGGAATGGCCAGCATGCGTAATAGCTGGGGCACTCGAGTCGGAGCAGACAGGGGCGTACAAGCTACCTTACAAGTACAAGAACTCTGTTTATTTTGAGAATTTAAATATGGAATTTTGTACGTTATTTCTGCCCATGAGAACTGGAGTACTGGAGAATTATAATTCATTAGAATTATAATGAACTTTATTTTATTTTATGGCTTTTTGCTGCCAACCAGATCTATTCTTTATATACGATCCGCTTTATAGGCATTGGCAATGTATAATTTGTTATAAATTATCATAAAATATTAGAGCTGTTCTTAGTTTTGATTGTTTGATTATAGACACTGCTACCAATAACCAGTACAAATGAGTAAAATGACCCTTGACCCTTGCCATGTTCATCTATTGGTGTCCTACTGCTTCTGCACCACCCCCCAAGCCCTACACAACATTTGGAGAGTTCTTTAAAGCAACACCTGTCGGCCCCAATTAAGTTTTGGCCCTTCCTCACATTCCCCCGCTCACATAAATATGCCCATTGGACCGTGTGAAAGTGAATTTCCCGTGCCGGGGATATTTTCTTTTTTTTTGGTGGCCAAATTAATTGCCTTCTTGATAAGAGACCGTTAGAACGTCCCAGCTGGCTTTAATTGAAAGTACTTTCGTCTCGCGGGCAAGTCTCCGCTGTTCAGAAAATTGGTTTGTAATTGTTTTCAATATAATGGAAGAAGACAGGAAAAGTTAAATAAAATCAGAAACCAATCTTAAATTTCCATTATTCCTTCGTCAAGAGAACGTAGCCTCCACATTTATCTACTATCTACTAGCTCTTCCATTCTGAGGCATCAGAGCGAAAAAGATTGAAATGTTAAGTTGCAAAAAAGTGTGCTTAACGAGGCAATGATTGATTGATTGACTGACTGCCGGTCCGTGCAGCAGTGGGGTGTGGTGTGGGGTGGGAAAGGAAGCACCACTGCTAATGATACATCAACATGAACTCGGGGACATGGACATGGAGATGGATAAAAGAGATAAAGAGAATGCAAAACGTAAAATGCAAAACGCTGCCAATCACGTCCAATTAGAGATTGCGTAGGAATCTGTGGCCATTTGAGTGATGCTCTAATTGATAGTTTTGCATCGCCAAGACAAATATCTGTGCAGCACGACACTTTAAAACGAGGCAAAGTAAGATCTGCAAAACAGGAAATACAATTCGAATGTGGGAAAAGTGTCCAAGTGACTGGGACAAAGAAGGGAGCTTTTTCTTATAATTGCTAAACAAAATACGAACAAAAACATCCATAAATTACATAATAAATACCCAACGACAATGTAAAATTGTGCTTAAATTAAAGAAAATTAAGACACCAAATCCAAAGGCGCGGCTAAAGCCAATAGTGCCCTCTATGCAGCAGAGTAGCAGCAGCTGTTAAATACCAGAGAAAATACCACATTTTACTTGCTTGCATTATCTTACTCTTATTTATTATTTATTTATATTTATTTATTATTTATTTATTGTAAAGCATACTAATTTCATAATAAATACTGGACAGCCGAAAGATTTGTCTTGAAACTCCCTGTCCAGAACATTGCCTTGAATATCTTAAGATTTACATTCCATCCCGCCATGTACTTTGAAATTCTATATCGAAAATAAATACTTTTAATACTTTTTTCCGACTTTTTACTCAACCAATCAAAATTCAAAATCAAAAGAGCCCGCTCTTTGTTTTTGTGTGAAAAATTTCTCTCTTCTTTCTCTTCTCTTTCGCGCTCTTGTGTATCTCAAACGCAGGGAATATTATTTGTAGGTACAGGACTCAAAAGTGATAAGAGAACAGGAACTCACGATAAACAATATAATAATAATAAAGAAACAAACATTCCGTAGTGAATGTCCATATCTATCACATCACCGAATTGGGATCCGATTGGATCAATATTATAGCCAGAATGAAGAAATTAGTTTTCCGTGGCAAACCCCCACCCCGTCCAGCAGCTTGGCTTATTTTTTTCACATTCTCTCATACCACACCCTTCCACGTCAGAAGTGATTTAAATTTGAAACAAACAACTAAGGTTCAGGTGTACTACTGAGTACAGGGTATAAAAGTTGTTCTCACCCGCCTCTTCTCGTTTAGCCTAGTACTCGATCGAAAAACGCACTTTCTAGCGCAATGTGCATTAAATTTTGCTAGAAGCAGAGTGTGACCAGAGGTCAAAACCGCATTCCGTAAGGTTAAACTTCTCAGGCAGCTGTGTTGTTTTGTTTACCTATTTGAAAATGTGTGCAAATTGAATAAAAGGTTCATAAAACAATGAATGCAAAATGGATCCATGCATGAGATTATTTTAGTGAGACTGCCGGCTCTTGCATGATCGGAGGAGGAGGACAATCAACGAAGTTAGCGAAGACAACTTTGATTAAACCCATGTCGTTTTCCATACATTTGAGTATTTTAATTCATATAAATATGTGTACATTTATGGAAACCCATGAAACGATACCCTTTGCATATTCCGCAGTTTGAAAATACGACAGAGAATTTGCATATGGCTGGGAATAACATCTGCAGACTTCCTTGATTGGTGGAGCAGCAAGGCGGTGCCAAGGAATATTTGCGCCCGTTGCAAAGTTGTAAAACGACGCCTCCAAGCACCCTTCCTTTTCAACATTGGATAGTTTCTTGCCCCTGTGGAGCAGTACTTGGTCCCAAAAGGAAAACAACTTAAAACATTTTGTTAACAGCCCAGCCGGTTCTGTGTCTTGGCAACATGAAGATACTGGTGTAAAAGTAAAACCAAATTAAAAATGCAAATACATTCAATATAATCTCATTAATCTATAATAATTGTTTCCTATTTTGCCGTTTGATGGCCTTTAGCTCGTTTAGAAGCACGGTGGTCATTTATCTTTCAACTCTTCAGACTAGGTTCCCTCCCGGAATATAAAACAAATCTATATTTGCGAGCTGCTAGCAACATACCAACGAATACCACAAAATATTATCGTCTGACTTTCTAGATTACTTTGGCCTGTTATTTTTGTAGATCTGAGTACTGCCTGTCGTACAGCCGCTAGAAAGTAACTTGTGCGCCCAACATTTCTTATCGGTTCCATACGAATATCATCCCTGATTTAAAGTTATTTTTTGAACTGGGCCGCTGGCAAACTCTGAGTTAACCCGAATTTATGTCCCTCAAGAAGAGGCAATTTGTGGACCGCACCTAGTATTTTTAAGCCCTGCGGTCGCTCGCAGCCCATTATTATTAACTTTACGTGAAATTCTCTTTCAAATTCCCAAATTCAATTGGTTCTCTTCTTTTGCAAACGTCGTGTCGTGCGGGCGTCGCGCGCGTTGACAACAAATCAGTGGAACAGACATTTTCTCGTGCGAAATAAGAAAATGTTTATTACGCCAAACAACACAAAAGCCACAACGTAACAAAACAACAGCTGCAGCAGTGTCAAGTGCGTGTGTGTTTCAAAGGTGTGTAAAGAGGGAGAAAGCCAAAAAAGGGAAGCGTGACAGAGACGGACAGAGCTCTTAAATGAATTTCGCACAACCCAAAAATAAAACCAAATATCTAAAACCGTAATTGCAAAACAAAACAAACAAATGCAATGCAATAATTTAAATGTGATATTCGAGTGTGTGTATGTTTTTTGTATTTGATTGTGTTTGCTTTTGGTTTGTGTCTTTAGGAAACAAACACAAAAACTGGCCTGGCATTTCAATACGAAATTTTTGGTTGTTTTTGCCGCCGCCTGCATCAGCTGGCGACGACTCTCTTACCATCTGTCTAACCCCTCTCTGTCCATCAGCCCTCCCTCTCGCTATTTGTGTTCCCCCTCCACGTTGATTTAGCATTTGGGTGAAAAAATCGTTTCCTTTTTGCGCTTACATTCTGGATCTCTCTCTTTCTCTCATTTCCTTAAGTCAAAGTCACACAACAACAAAAAGAACACGGAGCATAGCGAGGGGAGTCGAAGTTTGTGTTACCCTGGCAAATGTCAGAGTTGTTTGAATAAAGTCTGGGAGTTTTGATTGAGTTTATCAGAATTAAATAGACAAAGCTGGGGAAGAGAACTCTGAAAGTTGGTATGGAATATCATTTGGTGAAAATACGAATTTTCCCTATCCAGTGGCTGCAATAAAACCACCCTCCCACCCTCCTTGATTTCACAACTAATCAAATGATTAATTCAAACTAATACACTCTCTTCCGCCAAAGGGTATTCCAAAAACCCGTTTTATTTCGCCTTCTCTCTCTTGCTCTTAGCGTCACGCCTTTTATGTGGTATTTGTTGTTGCTTTATTTAAGCGCCCGGCCCGTTACCCACCGCCCCCACCCCTTGCCATACATTCATTCATAGAAAAAGCAACAACCAAGAAAGCAAACGCGATTTCTTTTATTTTCACCCAAAAAAATATAACAAAAATAATGAAGTAAAAAGCAACCGCAGAAAAAATTAAAGAAATCAAATTTCAAATTCGTGCAACAACAAACACAACAAATAAAAAATTATTACAATTATCGCCAATTGCATATTTGTTGTTGCTGTCATTTGGGTTGTTGCTTCTTTTTACACGTGTTCACGTGTACGTGGGTACGTGTGTGTGTGTGTGTGTTAGTGTTTATGTGATGTAAGTTTATTT